CTAAACAAACTTTATAGACTATGTTTAACTTTGGAGTAACATAAAACATCCTGGGCTCAATACTGCTACGATTCCAGAACACAAAGAATTACAGAATTAAATAAGCAAGTTATTTTAGAGATATTAAAGACAACTAAACATCTTAGAGGTTTACTGTCTGTGGTTTTTGTTTTAATGATGTGTAGTTTTTATACTACTAAATACAACTAATTTATTACTGAACTTACAGTTCACTTTCTCTTCACGCTTAGAGGAAAAGCCTGACAAAGAAGTTTTGTCTCTGACAAAAATTCTTAAGATTAATTAGGCACTGAACACAAACTGGTTTTACCTTTTGCCTCAGAACAGACACCCAAAAATCCATCATCAGTCAGCACCTTGAACAGTGGTCTGACCCCGTAGGTATCTCTTGCCAGAAACACTTTTCTGTTTGCAGTGTCCAGAAGGATGAAAGAAAATACCCCATCCAGCATGGATGCTGTTTGCTCTATTCCTCCTCGGTTGTAAAGATGAAGGATAACCTCACCATCCACTAATGTCTGATATTCAAATCCAAACTGCTTCTGCAACTAAGAAAAAAAGAAAAACATGGATAAGCACTTGCAAACATTGACTGCTTATTAATAGGAAAAAAACCAACAACAATGCCATTCATGTAACTGTTTAATAAGGAAACTAAGGGGTTCTCTGTAAAATCACAGTCCAAAAGTTCTGTCAAAGAAGGATATTGTACTTTTGTGTCCAAAATCTTACCCAGGGTCATCTCAGACAATGCAGACTGACTCTGCAGCCTTAAGCAACTCAACATTACAGCAAGTTTTCAGGGACAGATTTCTATCTGTTGATGTGAAACTGCAAATGCATGACCCCAGTCCTCAGAAGCATGAGCCACTCCATGTCCCACAGCCTGAAGCAGGGAACCACAGTTTCCAAAAAACCAACTCAAAACAGGACCAGAAAACAAAAGACATCATTTAATTGCAGTCTCAAACCACTCGGCGCCACTTTCTTATCAGATAATAATGACATTTAAGTAACACACCCTGCCCCAAACCACATAGACTTTGGCAGCATCTCTGCAGAGTAAAACACATCAGAAATAAACTTTGCTTTACTTAAGCAGCCACTGCAATTCCTTAGGGCCTTTTTTTTTTTTAAAGCACAGAGAATTTCCTTCTGCCTCATCTTCCTCCATTCCTTAAATTAACCTTTACACTCTGCCTGTGCAGATGGAGTGGGGGAGGAAGAAATAAGCTGCCAGACTTAAGTCAGACCAAATATTCTTCAATATTCTTAAAGTTCTTTCAATGTCTACCAGAAAGGGGTAAAGACGAGGTTTTAATAAAACAATAAAAGGCCAAGAAACCCCACAAACCCAATGCTTTAGCATGTTAAGAAGTTATTTGGTTTTAATTGCTATTTATGGAGCAATGACTTGGATCAAGTTGAGTCAATATTAAAATAACTAAGTCACAGCCCTAAACAAGACACCTGTTTCACCAACAATCCTTTCCCAGGCAGGTTTCAGCCACAAGCCTGAAAGAAAAATCTCTTTATAAAGAAAGAGGGTACAAAATGTGGTGAGAACAACTAAACAAATTCCTGTTGATGGCAATGTAAGTTTTGGTTGTGTGTGCAGCAGAACCGTGAGGAATTCCCACTGCTTCCAACAACAGAAACAACAAAATGCAAAACGGGAAATATTACAGATTGTTGGTTCAATACATTTCACACGGATTGCAGGAAAAAGCGTGTCTTATATTTCAAACAGACACTTAATAGCTGGAAAAAAGATTTCCAATGACGTTGCTGATATCACTGACATCACTAACAGCAGCCTAACTCCGACTTCAAAAATGTGGTATTAGAAGTACTACGTCAATTCAGATTATTCATACATTTTTGATACTACCGTGCTCAGCCTGTGATTCATTTTAAGCACTCACTTTCAGCATGATTCAGAAGCAGTCAGAATTGTAAGCTGCTTTACATTCCAAATTTGGGTTATTTGAATCACTTTCCTTTCCAAGTAACGCAGGCGGCACAGACATCATGCGGGGCATGAAAAAGAGCATGGCCAGCAGGTGGAGGGAGGTCATCCTCCCCCTCTACTCTGCCCTGGTGAGGCCCCATCTGGAGCACTGGGACCAGTTCTGGGCTCCCCAGTTCCAGAAGGACAGGGGACTGCTGGAGAGGGGACAGCAGAGGCTACAAAGATGGGACTGGAGCACCTCTCTGCTGAGGAAAGGCTGAGAGACCCAGGTTTGTTCAATCTGGAGAAGAGAAGACTGAGAGGGGACCTCATCAATGATTATCAATATCTAAAGGGTGGGTGTAAAGCATTTGCATTATGAAGAGAGAGAACAGAGAGAAAGAGGCTTGGAGTTCCCCTCCCCAAGGGAAAAATAAAGAATGTATCGATATGCATGTTCCCCTTTCTGTCAATCAAAAAGTGATTTTTCAGTATTAAAGACTAAGTATGTTATAGTCTAAGCCACCTAAGATACACAGCTCACCCAGACAATTTACTTTCTATTAAATACTAGCTATTTGATAACTTTTTGTTTCCCTAATATTCTAGTCCACTGCGTTTTAAACATTGTCTGAATATTGGCTGGTTTCAAAATGAACAAAAAAGGAAAATACTGCAAGATCCATACAACACGTACCTGTTTGAAATTGTAGATTTCTCCATTGTAGCAGAGCCACAGATAGGGGAATTTCTTCACCCGGATAGGCTGCATGCCATATAGCTGATCGACAACCGCAAGGCGGTGGAAACCAAAGCAACAGTTGGTAAATCCATTGACGTTCTCGAAACGAAAGGCATCAGGACCCCTGTGGGCTATCTTCATGGCGCTTAGACACTGGACAGAAAGGCATTCGTCGCTCCCAAACAGGGCCCAGATACCACACATGGTGAGGCTGCTGGTCTACCTGGAAGCCAAGAACCTGTTCAATAAAAACATGAATGTTATAAGCAAGAGCTGACACCTAGAAAACACAGATAACAAACGTAGCCTATTAATCGTTAGCTATCAAGAGGATTGATCAGGATGATGGCAGACTTCACTAACGTGAGGAAAAAATACAGTTTGCCTGGAATATAACATGCAAACTTTGGCCAGCAAGGAATTAGGCTTAAGTTTACCTTTACATACATCAAGGTTGTCTATAATTTTTTTATAACAGCGCACAAACAAAACAACTAGTTCCTGGGTGTAGGGTTATGATCTGCTGAAGTAACACCGTGGAAACTGCCCCCAGGAACAACGGAGCAGAACACTGCGAGCAGATCTTTAAGGCCCTTTAGATATTGATCAGCATTGATGGGACCCTCCCCCCCCAGTCTTCTCCAGGCTAAACAGCCCCGGGTCTCTCAGCCTTTCCTCATCAGAGGGGTGCTCCATCTCCTTGATCATCTCTGTAGCCCTTGTAGCTGCCTGAACCCTAACCCTAATGGTAGAGGTGGGCTGAGCCTGGGGACCTACACGTCAAGCGATGGTGCTGGGGCCCTCAGCCCCCTGCTGTCATGAGGGCCAGGATTCGGAGAGCCCCAAAGCCTGGGGCTGGAGAAGGCAGGCCAAGGGCAGCACGGCCCCGCAGCGCCATCGCTCCCTCCACACCTTTCTTTCCCACCTGGACAAGCGATGGCGCTGGGGAGCTCCGCCTCAGCACATGGAGCCGGCCTCTGCCTCTTCCTCCCTCCAGCGGGGCTGCTCCCACGCTCTCCGGGGCTCCTCTAACAGCCCACCGGGGCAGGTTCTCTCCCCGCCCGACACCCCCGGGGCTCCCCTCCCCGCGGCCGCAGCGCGCCCCGGGCCCACCGCCCCCCTCCGGCTCACAACCCGGGGGGGCCGCACACCGGCAGGAGCAGCG